TGACACATAACAACAACAACTTACACCAGAGCAGTGTCTACAACCAACACCTGCCAAAAACCACTCTGAATCAAACTGTACAAAATGAACAGAGAAGTCAATCTCCTGGTCACACCAACCAGGATGAAATTAGAGAATGCTTAAAAACACACCAACCTACATACATACATCAAATAAAATTACAAACAAAATAACACCACAATGCCTAAAAAGCACAGAAAATGTTTCCTCATGTACAGAGCAAGACAGAGTAACCAAAAAAAAGTAACAAAGAGGAAGGGCTAGAAATTGTTTTTGAGGAAGAAGAAGCTCTGGAACTACCTAAAAAATAGTTTAGGAAAATGATATTGAAGTGCATCCAAATGTTCCACAGAAAGGTCAAGGAAAATAAAGAAGTTAGAAAAGTAATATAGGCACAATCAAACAAAATAGACATAGCATTGGAGAAAATACAAAACCTGCAACAGAAGTCCAGATGATCAATATTAAGGTATCAGAAATGGACAATATACTGAAATGCCAAAGGAATAGAATTAAACTGATGGAAGCCAGAATTAATGAGCTTAAAGATAAATCTCTCAATACTGCTAAGATAGAAAAACAAGAAGGAGAAAGAATTTCAGCAAAAATCTGAAGAGAGTCTAAGATTCATGTGGGACAACATGAAGAGGAATAACATGAGTGATTGGAATTGCAGAACAGGAAGAGGCAAAACAAAAATACAAAAAAGATAGTTGAAGAGTTGATGGAAGAAAACTTCCCTAACATCTTTAAATATGACAAGATAAATATTCGAGAAGCTATACAAACCCCATGCAGGGTAGAACCCCCCAAAAAATCACAAAGACATAGCATAACCAAACTCTGCAAAATAGAAGCCAAGGCAAGAAAAAAGAAATCCTGAAAGTAGCAAGGGAAAAAGGAAATGTTACCTACAAAGGAATACCAGTAAAATGACGCTCTGATTTCTCTGAAGAAATCATTCAAACAAGAAGGCAATGAGGAAACATTTAAAAACCTGTGAATGAAAAAAACTGCCAAATAAAAATCATATACCTAGCAAAGCTGTCCATGAACTATGATGGTGAAATAGAAATATTTCAGGATAAACATAAACTAAGGGACTTTGTAAAAGCCAAGCCAGAGCTTCAAAACATACTAAAGGTATTTTTTTGGCCTGAGAACCAACGATAGTAAACAACAAACAGAGATTGACATGTGTGACCACACCACCAGAAACTCAGTCCAAATATGGAAGAATCTAGAGTAGAACAAAACTACAAGAGTGAAAATAGGGGATCTGGGATGTCAGTCTATGGTCAGGAAACTACAGAGTGAAGGAAGAGAAAAGTGTAACCACAGAGATCCAGGTCATGAGGATGTCAGGGTAAAACAATTAATAAAGTGTACCTTCAAAGAAACTAAATACATCATCACATCAAATCAAGAAAAGGAAAATCCAAGATGACTTTGAAAACATTAAAACTGTAAAGAAATTGGTAAGAAAAACACACACATACAAAATGAAGTCGGTACAGGAATACATGCAGAACAAAGAAACCATCAGCACCACAAAACAAAACAAAAACAACAGCAGAATGACAACAATTAATCCATGTTGTTGTTATTAAGTGCTGTCCAGTCAATTCCGACCCACAGCGACCCTGTACATCAAATAGTTTTTCTTTGTTCATTTGTGAAAAATAAGATGTAAAAGTGAGGCCAAAGGTTGGAAGCAGGATAACAGTTGTTACAGGGAGAGTAATCATTAAAATGAAACAAAATGTAAGATTGGTTGAAAGTACAAAAAATAAAGTGTTAAAGTACAAAACAAACAAACAAAAAAGAACATCAGACATCAAAGCAAGAGGTCATGAAGAAGACAAAAAAGAAAGGAAAGGCCAAAATTGATGTCAGAATAAACTCTGAAACATGCTTTTCAGTGTAGAGATGCTAAAGCAAACGGAAGAAATGAGGAGGCAAAAGAGATAAACAGAAAAATTCAAAGGGCAGCTTGAGAAGACAAAGTTTAGCATTATAATGATTATGTGCAAAAGACCTGGAGTTAGAAAACCAAAAGGAAGCACATGCTCAGCATTTCTCAAACTGACAGCACATAATAAAAAATGTAATTGTTTGCTTGCAATACTGAAGGATTCTATGGGGAAAATATTGAATGAAACAGAAAGCATCAAAAGAGGATGGAAAGAATACACAAGAATCACTGTATCAAAAAGAAGTGGCCAATGTTCTACCATTTTAAAAGGTAGCATCTGATCAATAACTAACCAATGGTACAGAAGGAAGAAGTCAAACTGAACTGAAGGTATTGACAAAGAAGGTGGCTCTGGGAATTGATGGTAAATGAATCAAAATCTTTAAATCTGATGCAGCACTGAAGGCACCCAATCATCTATACCAAGAAATTTGGCAGACAGCTACCAGATCAACTGATAGGAAACGATCCATGTTTGTGCTCATTTCAAAGAAATGTGACCCAATGAATGTGGAAATCATCTAACAGTTTCATTAATATTGCGTGCAACTAAAATTTTGCTGAAGATAATTCAAAACCACCTGCAAAACAGTACACTGACAGGGAACAAACAGCTAGAGGTTCAAATCAGATTCAGATCAGGACATAGAACGAGGGATATTACTGTTGACGTAAGATGGATCTTAGCTAGAAGAAAAGAATACCAGAAAGATGTTCATTGTGCTTTATTGACTATGCAAAGTTTTTAGACCACTAAGTGAAGGCTTTTGATTGTGTGGATCATGACAAGCTATGGACAACATTGAGAAGTATGAGTATTCCAGAACACTTAATTGTGCTTCTGAGAAATCTGGACCTGGACCAAGAAGCAGTTGTTCGAACAGAACATGGGAACACTGAATGTTTTAAAATTGGGAAAGGTGTGCGACAGGGTTGTATTCTTTCACCATACTTATTCAACCTGTATGCTGAGCAAATAATAGAAGAAGCTGGGTTCTATGAAGAAAAACGTGACATCAGGATTGGAGGAAGACTCATTAACAACCTGTGATATGTAGATGATGCAATCTTGCTTGCCAAAATCAAAGAGGACTTAAAATACTTACTGATGAAGATCAAAGACTGCAGCCTTCAGAACGTATTGCACTTCATAGTAAACAAAACAAAATTCCTCAACACTGGATCACTAAATAACACCACTATCAGTGGAAAAAAGATTGACATCCTCAAATCTCCATGTTGCTTAGATCTACTATCAACACTCACAGAAGCAGTAGTAAAGAAATCAAATTATGTATTGCGCTAGGCAAATCTGCTGTTTTAAAGTGTTCTAGAGCAAAGATGCCACTTTGAGGACTAAGGTACACCTGACCCAAACCATGATATTTTCAGTTGCCTCGTATGTGTATAAAAGTTGGATAATGGATAAGGAACACCATAGAATAATTTATGCATTTGAGTTATGGTATTGAAGAAGAATATTAAAAGTATCATGGACGGTGAGAAGAGCAATCAAATCTTTCTTGAAAGAAGTACAACCATAATGCTCCTCTTCCTTCCTCAGGACAAAGATAGACTAATAGTTTTACATTATATGGCTACTCATGAGCTTTTGCTAATCCCAGTATTTACTCACCAAAGTAGGATGTAGAACATAGTCTTTGTGGATTATGCTATTTCAATCGACAATTCTGTTCCCAAGATTACGGCCCAACAACTCATTCCCTGAAGATGTTTGGTAATATCTAAGAAGTTCTCATAATTTTGTCTCTTGGTGTGGTGCTGTGGGATAAAGCACTGGTCCAAAAAGTCAGTTTGAAACACAAGGTCGGCGATTCAAACTCACAAGTTGCTCCTTGGAAATCCTGTTGTTATGACTCGGAACTGACTCGCCGTAAGTTAACAGCAACATGTTCCTAATGGTATCTTATAAGACCCACAACTTTTAAAGTCATTTATAGTGCATTTCAGATATTTCCTTTTGTCTTACATAGAAAATAAAGCTTCTTCTTCTGTTTTTTAACTTACACTAGTATGGGAAAATACTCGGTGATTTTACTTAAGTCATCCAAATTGGTGATTTTAATTTTAATACAAAAAGCAGTGGGGTCTACATTAAATATTTGGTTTATTTAATCAGATATTTTGGGACTTAAGCTAAGAAGCACTATAAAGATAAAAACTGAATTGTAATTTTGGAAAAGATGGCATGTATTAGAAAGTACTGAACCAAGCATCACTGTAGGAAACAAAAGATTTGATTTGAATCCTGAATCCTCAACTAGCTAACTCTGTGACTTTAGGTATATTATTTGAGCTCTTTAGGCATAATTTTCTTACTTTTAAAAATACTAGAAATTCTAGTCTTGTCTAGGTCTACCATTTTAGAATTCTATGAGTAAAATCAATCTGAGACTATACATTTTATCCCAGAAATGTCTTTACAACTCTAAAAAGAAATTAAAACTTAAGAAAATATAAATATTTTAAACTAAGAAATTCTAAATAAGTGTTCCAAAGAAAGATTTGTTATTCATTGTCATTAAGTATGTTTCTCTTGAAAGAATCACACTAACTATGGAAAATATTGAAGCTTGGCATTTGAAAAAAACAAACAAGTATATATGCACTATTACATCTATTTATCAATTGATTAGTTCTGGTGTGGCACTGCGGGGTAATGCACTGGACTGCACAATCGGCTTGAACCACAAGGTTGGTAGTGCAAGCTCACCAGCTGCTCCTTGGAAACCCAATACAGGGTCACCATAGGTCAGAAGTGATTCGATGGCACTTGACAACAACATCAATTGATTGATTGATCGATTGATCTATCTAGCAAACTATGGTCTATTGATATGCATACATATATGTGTGTGCATTTATGCAAATGCATGTGTATACTAAATATATTATGCACACACACACATGCATGTGCAGACAAACATAAGAACCAAAGAGAAAGTAAATAAACACCAGAGTTGAGTCTGACCAAGAGACTTACGGGTGCTGCTGAGTTTTTAACCGTGACACAGGGGGTGGTGGCTCTCAGGGCTCCAGTCACTCCATGGTAGTATTTGAAGCAGATCTTAGTTTCCGCTGAAAGACAAAAATAAAATGAAATTGAGCAGTCGGATGTAACTCTGGAAGAGATCCCCATATCAAAGATGACATCTCTAAAAGCTGGACCTTATTCTGCCCATGAGCCAAGGCACCCATGACAATGACTCTCAACATGTGGTCTTATGGATGGGTCTGCTTTTTTCTAAAAATGTCTCAAGAAAAACTCTTTTGGCTTTGGAGTTTCTCCACTCAATTTAAAGCCAGACTCCTGGTGGGGCACTATGGATCAGCATTGGCCTGAGAACCACAAGGTCAGAGGCTCTAACCTACCAGCAGCTCCTCAGAAACCCTATACAGGGTCACTATGAGTCAGAACTCAATGGCACTTAACAACAACACAGCCATTAGAGGTTATTATTGTAAATACTTTTTCCTAAGATTTTAGGGGGCTTGGTGTCTACTACCAGTCTGTTTATAGTTCTGTTGTTGTCATGTGCTATCCAGTCAGTTCCAACTCATAGCGACCCTGTATAGGGTTTCTGCTGAGCAGCTGGTATGTTTGAACTGCTGACCTTGCAGTTCAAATCAACCTTGCAGTCCAATGCTTATCCTAAAGCTTTATTGACTATACAAAGACTTTCAACTGTGTAAATCATGACAAGTTATGGATAACACTGTGAAGAACGGATATTCCAGAACTCTTCATTGTTAACATGAGGAACCTGTACATGGAACTAGAGGCAGTTATTCAAACAGAACAAATGGATAATGTTGTTGTTGTTGTTAAGTGCCGTCGAGTCGATTCTGACCCATAGCCACCCAGTATAGGGTTTCCAAGGAGCAGCTGGTGAGCTTGAACCACCAACCTTGAAGTTCATTCAAATGACTTCACAGTCTGACGCATTGGCCCACATGGGTGGTTTAAAATCAGGAAAGAGGTATGCCATGGTAATATCCTTTCATCTTCTTTATGTTGAACAAATAATCTGACAAACTGGATTATATGAAGAAGAATGAGGCACAAAAATTGGAAGAAGACTCATTAACAACCTGTGATATGCAGATAACACAGTGTTGTTTGCCGGAAGCAAAGAGGACTTAAAATACTTGAAGAAGATCTAAGACCACAGCCTTCAGTATGGACTGGACTTCAATGTAAAGAAAACAAAAATCCTCACAACAGGACCAAAAATAACATCATGACAAATGGAGAAAAGATAGAAGTTATCAAAGGCTTCATTTTGCTTAGATGACGATCAACAATCATTGAAGTAGCAGTCAAGAAATCAAACAACATATTGCATTAGGCAAATCTGCTGCTACACAAAACCATTTTAAAGTGTTCAAGAGCAAAGATGTCAGTTTGAGAACTAAGGTTCACCTGACTCAAACCAGGATAGTTTTCAATTGCCTCAAATACATGAGAAAGTTTGACAAAGAATAAGGAATAATACCATAGAAGAACTGATGCATTTGAGTTAAGGTGTAGGAGAAGAATATTAAAAATCTCATAGACTGCCAGAAGAAAAACAAACCTGTGTTGGAAGAAATACAACCAGAATATTCCTTAAAAGCCAAGATTGCAAAACTTCATCTCTCATACTTCTGACATGCTATCAGGAGGGACGAGCCCCTGGAGAAGGACACCATGCTTTGTAAAGTGAAGTGTCAGCAAAAGAGAGAAAGGCCCCCAAGGAGATGGATTGATGCAGTGGCAGCAGCATTGGCTCAAGTGTAGCAACAATATTGTATATGGTGTAGATGACACGTGTTATGTTGCGCATATAGTCTCTATGAGTCATAGCATCTAACAACAACAACCAGTTCAATATTATCACTAGCTAAGAAGCTCTGGTAGCGTAGTGGTTACGAATCGGACTGCGAACCTTAAGGTCAGCGGTTCGAAACTACCAGCTGCTCCGCGGGAGAAAGATGAGGCTTTCTACTCCCGTAAAGATTTACACCCTCGGAAACCCTGTACAGGGTCGCTATGGGTCGGAACCGACTCGACGGCACACAACAACAACAACAACAAGTAAATGCTAGTGATATTGATGATGATGATTAGTTATATTCCATCAGTCAGTTCCATAAATGACAAAAACTGAGACCAACCTGAGTTTGAAGATGAACTGTTTCCCCCAATTTAATGTTTATGGGATTATTTTCCTCAAAATTTAAAGTAATAAGGCTATATATTGGTTCCTTTAATTTTGTTTGAGAAATATGCAGAGTCTCTGAGATTCTACTTTTCAAATTTGGCAATTTTAATCAAAATGCTTTAAAAATAATGCTTACAATTGTTAGCATATATTTAAATATGTAACTTACAGAAAATATGAACAATGTATAAAAATATAGAGAAAGCGACAATTTTGTATGCTTTTTCTATACTTGAAAGTATACACTTTATACAATTATATATCTTTTTTGAAATTAATATTCTTCAATCAGCATGTTTAAATGTTATTTAAAATCTTTTAGGTAGCATTATTTCTTTTTCTATGGAATCAATGAGTATATGTATAATTTTTAGATATTCTCCTATTTTGGGAATCTTAGGCTTTTCTCCAAAAAATGAATTACTTTTTTTTTGTAAGAACAACTCAGCAAAAGAAAATTCTGGTTTATTATTGGACAACATTGTTTCACACATACATCAAACAGGCCAAAGAAAAAGAAACAGCAACTATAGACAAAAAAACACCAAAAAACATTTATCTTTGTCCTTTTTTAATCATCTCATTCAAACCAGTTACTTACTGTACAGCTAAACACACACACAAAATACTGGAATGCTCGGAATAAGATTGTAATTTTTGTTGGTTTTTGCTTTTTTTTTTTTACACAAGGTTTTCTTCTCCCTTGAGATTATAATGGACATGGTCACAACACATGTCAAGTCAGAAGCAGGACAGAGAATGCTCC